TGTGCTTTTTGAAAACAGTGTTTATTGGGCACAAAATTCTCCATGTAGCTTTTAAATGAATTTTACTAATTAAGTGTTTGGCTTCTCTTTTTCCTGCCCAATGTGTTGCAAACTTGGTGTGTTATCTACTGAGACCTTGAAATCTCTCGCAGTAATTTTGGATTTGTGAATTCGTCCTTATATTTCTAAGTTTCGGATAAGTTCGTGATCGTTGTGTCATGATTGGCTTTGTATCAATATAACATATAAAGATTGTCTCTATGTTAGGCTTCTGTCATTTTGCTTTAGGTATATCACTAGATTTTTCTTTTTTAACCCTACCACATACTCATTGTACAACATCCAGAAAGTACATTAACGTGTAAGGAAGAAAAAATATCTCCCATAATCTCCTGCTCAGTTAATCACTATTAACATTTTGGTTTTGTTCCTGCCAGCCTTTTTTCTATGCATTAAAATATACACGGCTGGTCACGAACTCCAAAAAAAATAAAATATACAGATTTTATATATGCATGTAATTTTTATCTTGCCATTTTTATTTAGTGCTCCAGCATAAGCATTTGTATTTTAATGAATGTTAACAGTTAATTCCAAGAGATGAAAATGTGCGTGTCATTATTATAACAGATCATTTTGACCTTCAAGAAATGATTTCAGGGCTGGGCACAGTGGCCAACGCCTGTAATCCTAGCACTTTGGGAGGCTAAGGCGGGAGGATCGCTTGAAGTCAGGAGTTCCAGACCAGCCTGAGCAAGAGCGAGACCCCATCTCTGCAAAAAATAGAAAGATTAGCCAGGCTTGTTGGCACATGCCTGTAGTCCTGGCTACTTGGGAGGCTGAGGCAGGAGGATTGCTTGAGTCCAGGAGTTTGAGGTGCTGTGATAACGCCACTGCATTCCAGCCTGGGTGGCAGAGTGAGACCCTGTCTTAAAACAAAACAAAAGGCTGGGCGCGGTGGCTCACACCTGTAATCCTAGCACTCTGGGAGGCCGAGGCGGGTGGATTGTTTGAGCTCAGGAGTTTGAAACCAGCCTGAGC